TAAAAAATTAGACATTATGTACTTTGCAGGACATCAAATAGTGGTTTGCTTTTTTTACAATTTACTCAATTTAAAAAAAAATCTTAGGTCTGTTCAGAATTAAATATTGAATGTCATAGCTTAAAAACATACTTCTGTATTTACACATGGGTAGGTTTTCTGGTTAGTTCATCTAAAGGTTTCTGTCAAGTGTTAAATACAATTATATTAATGAAATGTGGGCACACTGCATTCACATATGAAACACAGATTGACTAAGTATTTGCAGAAGCATCGAGATATGGGCCAGTATTGTTTATATCTACTGCCTTGTTATTCAGAACTACCCACTCCCCCCAGCTCATGCACAAAATTATCATTAATGTCAACAATAGTTATGCATGCAAACAGAGAGCATTCTGGAGCCCTATTAGTGGTGGTGAAATGTCCTTACTTAGCAATGTAATAAAATAAATGTATCTAGTACAATGGGGTCCTGGTCCATGGTTGGGGCTCCTGGGTGCTACCACAATACAAACATCGAACAAGAATAAGCTTTACGCTTCTGTGCACTTTCATACTAGTGGAGCAGAATGAGAACTATCGTACTGGCCATGCAATATGTGAAGCCAACTGGATCCTGCAGCTATATGCACAAGTAAATTGCTTTGAAGTCAATGATAGTTTGGAGTATGAAATGACTGCAAGGGTAGGTGTGGGAAAAGAAAAGACTTTGGTTTGCTTTGCTATCAAGCTGGCACCTTTAAGGGCCACTAAATTAACTTTAAAACCAAAAAACAATGTATTTGTATTCTTTAATTATTACGATCTGCTCTTTCTTTTCATTTTCTCAGAGTCCTCTCCTTACTAGCAGCAATCACAACTGATTTTGTCCAGTTAACTGATAATATCGTTTAGAATTCTAGGGCCTTTTTCCTAATCGTTCCTTAGCCTTACAGTTATCAGCGAGCAGGATCTTATTGTGAGATGGAAGAATAGCACCCTCAAGAGTTGACAGCAGTGCTGTTCCAGAGATCGGTGATGCAATAGGCATCCTTCCTCTTTTGGGCTGAATTCATTAACTCCTTAACACATTTAGCTGAGACCAATAGGTCTGGGGACTGAAATCAGCTCTTGCAAATGCGCTGCTATCCGTCCATAAGTTTGGAAGTGAAAATATGTATTTATACCTTCCAGAGAGATTATCAGTTGATAGGTTTTCTAGTTTATTAGTTTTCAGTTTCTTAGAAAAGTGAAGGACAAAAAAGCAGAACACAATAAGAATGATCTCATTTGTGTAAGGCTGGTGACCTAGTTTGCATTATAGTAAAGTCCATTTAAAATGTAACTAGATCTAAGGAGAAACACGCTGGGCAAACCAGTCAAAGTGCCTAATTGTAGGGACTCATTTGTTTGCTTGTTTGTGAGATAATGATAGTTAAGAATAGAATATGATCCCAAACGTTCAGCCTTTACTTTGAATTTCTTTTAAGTTGTGGTTCAAATCAAAGCTTCAGAATTATATAAAATATGAATGAGTTTTAAGGGCACTAGTAGATACTGTTGTTTGATTGCAAACATTTTGGTTACACATTTATGATGCACAGTACAGCAATGACCATTCATTTTAAATAGCTAGGGCCTACTCCTGTTGACTTCAATGAAGGATAAGGCCCTTAAAAACCTTGAGGTATAAATTAATCATCAACTGGTAGTCAGAGAGATATTTCCTCTGAAGGGGCAAAATCCTGGACTCAGACAAATAGTCTCTTTGTTGTGAACGGGGTTACTTGTATATAGCAAGCAAGATTTGGACACACAGTATAGCAATGAATAATTAGGTGCAGTATGGAGGTTTTATAATTTCATCTGAGGTATCCAGACCTGGTTTCTCTGAGAGACTAGAGGCCTCATTCTGCATTTGTCCTTCAGAATTAAAGCCAGTGGAGTTTAGGTTGTGCAAGAACTGCTAGATAGCATTCCATATGGATCATGGGCTCATTCCACTCATGGCAGCATTTATATCAATCCTGGTCATCTTTAGGAAAATTATTTCTGTATCCAGAAAAATCCAAGATGAATTTTACATTATTTTTTAAATTTTATATTGAAAATCGAGATGTACATTTCTAAGTCCGCACATGAGCTTCTTGAATCCATTCTCCAGTAGGAGAGGATAGTACAACTGAGCCATTAGAACAAAATGTTCTTACTCTTTCCAGTCACACAAGATGGAATATTTATTTAGATTCACAATATATAACATATCCACTATAAGAACAGTGTTAATCTCACATTCCAACTTTATTTTCTCTTCAGAACGTTCATTGTCAGATAGTATTAATGGCATAAAATTCAGCTACTTTTTGAGCCAACAAATACCTACTAGTTTAGGACTTTATCCTACATCCCCTCTTACTCGAGAGGAATCCCAATGAAGTTAACGGAATTACTAAGGGAGCAAGGCCTATTATAGTGAATAAGAGTTTGCAGAACTCAGAACTTACTGAAGACTTAAAATGTGTGACATTTATTTTTTTTATTTGCCTAGATAGTTTGGCAAGGAGTTTCTGGTTTCTTAGTTGGGACCAGGGAATTAAACAGGGGGGACACAAACTAATCCTTATAATACAAGTACTAGTAAAAATATTTTTGGAACAGGAAAATAAACTTTTTCACCCTCCTTCCATTTTCACAACTGTCTCTGCAGCATCCCTTAGCCCTTTTAGACCTAGACCTGCTCTCATCGACTCCAATGGCCCTTAGGTTTGATTCATCAAGGCACGTTTCAAAGGTGTCTGCTGGACGTGCGGGATCTGTATGGGATAGATTGCAGAACCACGCAGCCCCAGGGGAGCCCTAGGTATACACACGTTGTCTTGCAACAGAAGGAAATCATGTACATCCTCACCCCGCCCAAGCCGAGCTCTGCCACTCCTATTATTTTACCGGGGCTGTGGCTTTGCCAGGGAGGAGCTAGTGTAAGGACATGCTGTACTGGGCACGAGGAGGAGTCACGCTGGCTGGGAAATGCCTGTCCTCTCTCAAACCCCTGGCGATGGCACCCCCGGGACAGTCTCAAGGAAATACAACCCAGGGGCATGCACACAGCCGGGCGCAGCCACGCTCCACCGCTACCGGTTACTGCAGGTTTATCGGAGGCGAACGCTGAGAGCTGGGTCACGCGCGATGCGTGTGTTTGCATTTCGGAACTCGGTCATTCCGGCTATCTCCGGGGTCCAGATCGTTACCAATAGGGCCCGTGCATTTATCGCCGACTTTCTATTGCGAAAGTAATCCGGGCCGGGCCATCCCCCCCAGGCACGGTTGGCAAAGTTAAGGAGGAGAGACATTTCGTTTAGCCAGAGGCGGATGCAGCCGGTTGTTACACCAGCAAGACGGGAATGGGTTGGCGAGACCACCCGTAATATCATTGCTGGGGCTACCCTCAGTGTAAGTCCCGGGAAATGATCCGAATAATTAAAAAATAAGCTAAACGTGGAGGCGAAAGGAGTACTGCCTAGTCCAACATAAACTGCGGCTGGCTTTTGGAGCGGGGCCTGCCTGGTTGGTTGGTGGCATTTCTGCTTTTCAACCCAAATTCTACTGGCCTATAATAAATGTGACAACTAATCAATGCCCCAGTGCAATGAAGCCGAGCGAATTACAGATGTCTGACTTTGGTGATGTTATCAGGCGTGAGACGCAGCTATGACACACACAGAACTTTGTACGTTGTAAAGATAACATTGACCACAGAGGTCCCATTGCAACCCCCCTATAAAACTCAGCCGCTTTAATCCCTCATAAACCTTTGCCTACAGGTATCCCGAGCGGTCTCCTTAACACCAAGTCTAACAGGGGAGCTTTTAATGTGCATTGTATTAAAAAAAAGAAAAAAAAGTTCCGAGCGGGCTTTGCCAGCTGCAGTCTGCAGAGAGAAGTGGAATTTCACCCCCATCCCTGAGGGCTCCGCCTCTATCCAGCCAGATAAGAGGCGACTGTTGTGGCTTTACTGCTGGGTCCTAGTGCCCAAGAGGTGGCGCTGGGCTTAACTTCTGGCGGTCTCGCTTGTCTGACTCCCACTAGGCTCTGTGAGAAGTGCCGGTGGGCGGATTAGGTATTGACGGTGCCGGATTTGAATCTGGAATCCGCAGCTGAACGAATGCAAAGGGGGTTTCTCACCTGGAAACCATAGTGCCGAGAACTTGTTCAAACTCGGCTGCTCCTGGAACTGCCAGCGCGGTAACGGGACAGCTTGTTCAAGGAACAACGTGGTGCTTGACATAGTCTTTGATACTTAGGCAAACACGACCCGGCTAATACTTGCAGCTCGTATTTGTAAAACGTGGGGATCGTGGACGTTGAGGCTTTCCTCTGTAAAAAGAACAGGAGAACTTGTGGCACCTTAATAGAGACTAACAAATGTATTTGAGCAGAAGCTTTCGTGGGCTTTCCTCTGTAGTGTCCTGGACTTAATAGGTCGAATTTGTAAGCAAGGACTCACGATTTAAGTGGATGATGGAAATGTGCCGATTTATTTGGGCCACTTTTCTCCTTTCACTCCTGTGCCGAGGCACGGGGAAGGCAGGGTTTAAAGTACCTTGGGCTGCCATACACGTTTCACAGGGCTTCTTATCAGTGTCAGCAGGTGCGCAACCTTTCCAACAGGTTTAAACCCAGCATTCTTCTATCTGGTTCAAGTCTTTGAAGCTATGGGGTGGGGGTGGGGGAACACTACAATGTTGCATTCTGCGAATTGCAAACTCCGTCCAAATTCTCTAGCCTCGCAGTTCCGGGGAGACAATAGCACCTGAAAAGGGTATTTAAAGGAGGGATTCGTTCCTAATCGTTCTCCGGGGAGGTGCAGATGCGCGCTTGCTGCTGGACCCTGAGCTTTGCTTATCTCTTGCTAGGGTTGGCTTGTAATTTAACTGAGGCAGCCTGGGACGGGTAAAACAGGCACTAAGACCCAGCAGAGTTGGCAGCTGCCTTGTGGTCAAAGGTTCCCAGCGGGAGGTTGGACACTAGAGGGCGATCCCCAGCCCTGGTGGGAGTGTATATATACTGCAAGCATAAGACCAAGTCAACCCATTAGTAATTGAAGGTTAAGAGCAAGGGAGAAATTCGGACACGCTGGTGGGAGTGGGTCGCCAAGAGCAGGGTAAGCAGTGGCACAAGTTGATTAAAGTGAGAGGGGAAGTCAGGGCGGCTCGCGGCTGACACTCAAGATCCGCAGGCAGAGGCGCCAGGGGGTGTTGGGTCCCTGGGCTCGGAGAGCTTCACTCGGCCGCCTGGGTCCCCTTCGCCACCCCAAACCCTGGATTCCAGGAGCCCTTCACCATGCCTGGCAGAGTTTAGATACTCCATGGAGCAAGCCAACTTCTACGAGGTCGATTCCCGGCCGCCGATGAGCAGCAGCAGCAGCCACCTCCCGACTCCGCAGCCCGGCAGCGCCTACAGCTACAGAGAGGCTCCCTCGGCGGCTACACCTGCTGCGGGAGGCGCGGAGCTGAGCGACATCTGCGAGAACGAGAACTCCATCGACATCAGCGCCTACATCGACCCGGCCGCCTTCAACGACGAGTTCCTGGCCGACCTCTTCCAGCACAGTAAGCAGCAGGAGAAAGCCAAGGCCATCCTGGCCGGAGATTTCGACTTCCACAGCATGCACGGGGCCAGCGCCGCCGCCTTGGGGCAGGGGCACCAGCCGCCGCAGCAGCACCACCCCCAGCAGCTCTTCGGCTGCATGGCCGGCTACACGGACAGCAAGCTGGACCCCCTGTACGAGCGCATCGCTGCCCCCGGCTTGCGGCCCCTGGTGATTAAACAGGAGCCGCGGGAGGAAGCGGAGGGCAAGCAGGCGGCTCTGGCTTCCCTCTACCCGCACCTCCCCCAGCAGCAGCACCCGTCCCATCTCCAGTACCAGATCGCCCACTGCGCGCAGACCACCATGCACCTCCAACCGGGGCACCCCACGCCGCCGCCCACCCCGGTGCCCAGCCCGCACCACCCGCACCACCCGAGCAGCCTGCCCGCCGCCACCGGCGCCCTCAAGATGTTGCCCGCGGATCATCGGGGCAAGACGAAAAAGTCCGTGGACAAGAGCAGCAGCGAGTACCGGGTGCGCCGGGAGCGCAACAACATCGCGGTGCGCAAGAGCCGGGACAAGGCCAAGCAGCGCAACGCGGAGACTCAGCAGAAGGTGATGGAGCTCACCAATGACAATGACCGGCTGCGCAAGCGGGTGGAGCAGCTCACCAGGGAGCTGGAGACACTCAGGGGCATCTTCAGACAGCTGCCGGAGAGCTCCTTGGTCAAGGCCATGGGCAACTGCGCGTGAGACCCCCCCTCCCCACCGCCCGCCCCTCTCCAAACAAACTCGGACTTTTGCAAACTCTTGGTGCCATATTCAGATCCCTGCCGGGGTCGAGAGCTGCGGTTCAGCTTGTCTCATGGGGTGGGGTTGGTTTTTAATTATTGACAGATAAAAGAATCCAGGCAGCTGTAGTATTAAACGGTCCGTGCCTTAGGAACGACACGAATAAGCTGAAAAGAGTGTGCTTTGAAAAGAAAAAGAAAAAGAAAACGCCCACGTGTCTACAGGGTAAAGACAACCCACGCTGTGCCTTAAAAGTTGGTTTCAAAAGCTCTGTGGGCTTTCTGTTCACATCAGCCTGGCAGCTGAGCAAACGGGTAGGGGTCCTGCGCTCTTGGTGGGGTTGGGGCATAATTGGTACTGGCTGGGGAAACGTGTGTGTCTTCCTCCGTAGGGGGGTGTGATTGGTGGGGGTCACAGGAAGCTCTGGCAGGAAGAAAAGTGGGTGAGACATTACAAGCAACTTGGGGAGAATGTATATGCCTGTTGTTTAGCTCGTTGATCAGTAGGTGAGTGAAAGCTGAGTGCAATCCAGACTCTGTCCCTGTCAGTGCTGCTGCCTTTCGGATGAATCTCTCCCATTCCTTTGTATGTGGGGGGAGGTTTGGTGGACTCTGGGGGCAATGCAAACAGATCGTTTCCCCCCCCCCTCCCTTTCCCCATTGTTAGAGGAGACCTGTTGGACAGGAATCCAGGACTGAAAGGGAACAGGCTACAGCACCTAGCGAAGGAGTCCTTAATATTCTCCTTTAACCAAAACGAAGAGCAGCGATGCCTGTACTGTATGTCGTGACATGGCGAAGCACAAAACAATAAATACCTATTGATGCGAGTATTTACTACGAACGTTCCGTGTATCTGGCTTTGTTTGAGGATATTAAGCCTCTCTCCAAGTCGGTCACTTCTGTCCAAGCTGTGCCTCATGTAATGTGATACCCTTCTGTGTATACTAGCCACACTTTATTGTATTGTATTGCTTAGATCCTTGCCATCACCACCTTCTTATCTGGTGGCAGAGAGATCATGCCCTTGTGCTGCAGCATTTTTTGGTTATGGCTTCCTTAGGGGGCAGGATGCCTCCTAATAACCCCAAAGTCTCGGCCTCTGGGGTGTCTGGGATTTGATTACCTTGGGAGTGGGGG